TTTTATATTTGTATTTTTGTCAAAAGTCGGTTTGATTAATTCAACCACATTATCTATAGTATAACTTACATAGTTCGGTTCGGAATCATACGAAAGCTAGCAAGCATACGAATGTACAGGCAAAGTTCCACAGCATTTTTGGCAGCCATTCAGACGCGGGCACTTTTTGTCCGACGTCAAGGAATTTTATATTTTTATTCCCTAAAGAAAAAAGTTTAATAAACTACAGAATAAATTATTTTAAACAAAGTTTGTTGCTTTTTCCTAGTAATTGAGGAACTCGAATGAGAATCTACGGCTTACGTTATTTTGCTCTTATTCTACGGATTGATCAATACAAAATATATATATACACATGTATGCTTAATGAAAATAAACTCCTCGAGAGATACACTTCTCCGATAAGCTCAGGGCTTGATGCGATCGATTCGCTGCCTCGCCTCGTTGGCCGCGCAGAGGGCGTTGCGGGCTGCCTTCTGGGTTTTGGCGTAGTCGTTGCGGGCTTCACTCAGTTGGCGCAGCAGCACGGAGACGCGCTTCTGGGCTGCTTCCAGGAGGCTGGTCTTGTCCGCCATGGACTGCTGGCAGGCGGCGGAGACCTGCTCTGCGCTATCGCAATTCTCTCTGGCCAGCTTTTGGCCGGCGAGAAGCAGCTTCAGCTCCTCCTGGGCCTGTCGGTGTGCCTTGAGCGCCAATTGGCTGTTCGACTCGGCGGAGCTCAGCTCCGAAGATTCCTCCTGCACAATTATCTCGGCCTCCCGCACCTCCATCTCCAGCTGCTCGAGCACCTGAAGTTTTCCCGATAGCACAGCCTCCGCCGCCCTGGCAGCAGCGGCCGCCTTTTCCGAAAACTCGAGCTTGATCCGATCGGACGCCTCCTTCACCGCACTCTCCATATCGTCGTTGGCCTGTTTCGCCTCTATCGCTGCTTTCATCGCTATGCCCGTGCCGTGGGATTTCGAGTTCAACTTTCTGGGCCTGGTTTGAGGGGACGGCTTCTCGCCTTCATTGTCACAGTCTGAGTGATCCCTCTCCCTAGTGCCCTGGAAGCTTGCTCTGTCGTCGACGAATTTGCTATCGTGGTTCAATCGCCGCTTAAGCCGAGTCTGATGCGCTGCTCTATACAGATCCCGGCGGGATGAGTAGCCCGATGCGAATTCTATTTGTGTAACAGACGACAATATAATGAACCACATGATTTGAAAGTTTAGTCGCATTTTCCGTACTAACACACATTTTTCACATATTCTCAGTTTCAAAACATGGTGCCACTTGACAGCTGTGTTTGATAATAATGAATACGGAAAGGGCGGCACAATGCTCTATATTTCCGTATTTGTGGTCCTAAACATCGCCTGTATATCCCAGAGCTCTGTCATCAGGCCGTCTGAGAAGGTCAGTACTGCGATATTCCCATTCCAGCTTGAGTCAAACCCAAACTGACAGATCTACAGCAAACGCAGCCTTGAGATATTTCCAAATATTGCACGACTGGCCGAGGAATGTAATAATAAGAAGGAAGGAGGCGGAGAGGACACCAAGGAGTGCAAAGTTTCGATTGGCAAGACAGATGCCAAGTCCAAGGCCTCCAACATTGCCCAGAAAGCGGCGCAAGAGGCAAAGGCGGCAAATGATGCACAGATGACAGCGGCGGACGCTGCCGCCTCCCAGGTCAAGCTGGAGCTCGCCGAGAAGGCCTTGCAGTCCGCACGCGCTGCCGAGGCCGCTCTGGCCGGCAAGCAGCAGATCTTCGAGCAACTGCAGATGGAGAACCGCGAAGCCGAATCCGTTGTGCAGGAGGTTGACAGCTCGCTGCACAATACGCAGGCGAATGCTGCCGCTGCCAGCGATGCCATCGTCGAGGCAAAGAACCAACTGGATAATCTCAAGAAACTTGTGCGAGCTTTCACCAAGAATCTCGAAAACATGGAGAGCATATCGACTGGCGCACAACAGGAGCTGGCCGAGAAGACCCAGCTGCTGGAGGCGGCCAAGAATCGACAGCAAAGCCTGGCCAGCCAGCTGCTGAAGGCCAAGCACGACTACGAGGAAACCAAGAAGGCCGCCTACAGAGCAACCTGTGCAGCAATCGAGGCCAAGCAAAAGGCGCAAAAGAGCCGGCGCCAGAATAATTTTAATCGAACTGTGAACCACTGATCGAACCACCTATTAATGTTGATTAAGCTTTATAGCATCAAAAACAAATTTTCTTGTATATTTTTCTATATATTGTAGAGGAATCAAACAATCTTGTTCATTAAAAAAGTGAAACCTGCCTCGGAAAGACGGTGTTGAGGTAAATCGTTCTTGAACAAGTCTAAGGTATAACCTGATTAAACAGTAAAATATTTGAATAATGTTACCAATCCCATGGGTGTATTTTTTTGTAAGACCGATCAGCTATGGCTTAATCCAAAGATCAAAGATCAGTGATTTAAACTAAGAAAAGATAGAGTGGTATATAATAATATCTTGTATATTATTTTATATACATATGTATATATTTATATATGTATTTCTTCACAGAGACAGAGATAAGATAAGATAGATTGATTCACTATAATCACTACTGATCTATATTTATCCTCTATAAGGTTACCGTGCTTCTGTCTGCGTTCATACATGTGTGTGTGTGTGGCTCAGAATGATAGGAATATCAGCTGCTTTCAGGGTTCAGTTTAACCTCTAGTCGAGCACTCTTGACTAGAATACATCTACATGATTTTTTCTCTACAAAAGTTTTAGTCGTCAAAGTTGAAATCGAAACAATGTACTTCAAAGGGCTGGCACAATGCACTATATATATGTATTACTGGTCCTAAACTTCAGCTGTTTATCCCAGAGCTATAAGATCGGAGCGCTCGATAAGGTCAGTAGAATGTCATTGGGCTAGTTAGCTAGAATTTAACGTGGGCTGCCAGGCCTACAGCAAACGTAGCCTCGATGTATATCCGGACACGGTGAAGCTGGAGGATTCGGGTGCTCCGAAAGACGCTGGCGGCGGGACGGGCCAGGAGTGTGAAACCAAGACTTGCTCTGGGGCTCTTTCCATTGGGGTGTCCGACCCGAAAACCAAAGCCACGAATATTGCGCAGAAGGCGGCGCAGGAGGCGAAGGCGGCGAATGATGCACAGGTGGCCGCGGCAGAGGCAGCTGCGTCACAGGTGAAAATCCAGCTGGCCGAGAAGGCGCTACAGTCGGCGCGCGCGGCCGAGGCAGCTCTGGCGGGCAAGCAACAAATCATGGAGCAACTGGAGGCGGAGCATCGCGAGGCCGAGGCGGTCGTTCAGGACGTAAGTAACTCCCTACAGAATACACAGGCGAACGCCGCAGCGGCCAACGATGCGGCCAACGAGGCGAAGAACCAACTGGGAAAGCTAAAGCAGCTGGTGCAGGCATCCATTGCGAATCTGGCCAACATCGAGAACGTGTCGGGCGGCGCTCAGCAGGAGTTGGCCGAGAAGACGCAGCTGCTGGAAGCGGCCAAGAATCGAGTGGACAGCCTATTGCGTCAGCTGAACTTGGCCAAGCAGGACTACGATAAGACCAAGAAGGCGGCCTACAAGGCAGCCTGCTCGGCGGTCGAGGCCAAGCAGAAGGCGCAGAGGAATCGACGTAGAGCCGCAGATCCAAAGTCATCTTCCCCTTGACCATTCATCTTTATCTTTATCTATTGTATATTTTTTATCAGCAGACGAGGACGAGAACAGGGAAATATTGATTTCAATAAAATTCGATTTTATAAACAAAATAATTGATAACAGAATATCATTTGATAAGGGGCATCAATGGCATCACTGCTTGCGGTAATTTGCGAATATCGTAAATTGCGATACGATATAAAATACGAATACAATGCACGTTAACATCGAATCATCTTTGATACCTAGGCTGGATTTGGAATATTTTGATTTCTCTTGCTGTGCAAACATAGTCAGTGTAGTGGCATGTGTCCGATTGAGTTTGACTGGCATTAAGGCTGAGAAATTGTAGAGAAAATGTTATGTAAGACCGTGTTGCTGTTGCTGCTTATTTTGCTGCAGGCGATACCGCGGCTGGACAGCTACAGCTATGACGAGCCTGGAAAGCGGGAAGAGCGAGCTCTCGGCGAACCGGATACGGGCGGGTGCTCGGATGATGGCTGCAACAAGAAGACCGCCAGTATGTTAGACAAAAGTGATCCCAAGACAAAGGCGTCGAATATTGCCCAGAAGGCGGCGCAGGAGGCGAGAGCCGCCAGCGATGCGCAAATGGCCGCAGCCGAGGCAGCTGCCACACAGGTCAAGCAGGAGTTGGCCGATCGGGCGGCGCAGTCGGCGCGTGCCGCCGAGGCCGCGTTGGCTGGCAAGCAACAGATTGTGGAGCAACTGCAGCAGGAAATGACCGAAGCGGATGCCGTGGTGGCGGACATTACCACATCACTGCAGACCACACAGGCGAATGCCAACACCGCCTCACAAGTTGTCGCCGAGTCGCAAGCCCAGCTCAATCAGCTGAAGCGCTTGGTCGCCGCCTTCACATCAAATCTGGCCAATATAGAGAATGTGGCTAATGGTGCGCAGCAGGAGCTGGCAGAGAAAACTCAACTCCTGGAGGCGGCCAAGAACCGCGTGGAGAGCCTCAGTCGCCAGCTCAACGAAGCCAAGCAGGACTATGAGAAGACAAAGAATGCAGCATATAAAGCAGCCTGTGCAGCAGTCGAGGCCAAGCAGAAGGCTGCCAGAAATCGTCGGATGGTTACTCGTTGGCATCAGGCAAAGGAATCAATGAAATCTGGTTCTGCCATCAAGAAGTAGTGATTGCAATTGATCTCTTTATAAGCTACTAAATTTTGTTAGCTTCAGTTGATATTTATAGTCCAGTTATTACGTTTTTGTCAGTGATTTGGAAATAATTTCCGCAATGTTTGAATTCCTTTAAGCCGTTACATAATTAAAATTTGGTGTTGCGTTTCCCATTAGGGATTTATGTATGTTCAAAAATAAATTTCCCCAATGCTCAGTTATTGGCAGCACTGTCAAAAGTTGCAATCACGTTTTAACAGTTCTGGTTACAGAATGTATTAAGTAAGAATGGTCTACCTGTTATTAACAGCTGATGCTCGCTGTTATTCACAACAATTCATCAGCTGTTAAAGCGATGGGCAGCACTGCCAAACAGCTGGACCCAGCAAAAGAAGCCGGCAAATTGTTATTTTAGTTTATTTATAAAGTGCAAAAGTTTATACACTTGCATTAAAATGTTATTTAGTAAAATAAGGCACCTGCAACTTCTTGGAGTCCGTTACAGAAGCTCCCACTACGTTACAACGCCAATATTCTACGTTAATGCAGGTACGCGTATGGCGCGTGCATATTGAATAACAGTTTGAGTGTAATCAGCCCGAATTCCTTTGAGCAGCTCCACACATTGGCCATCTCTACTCAGCGGTCATAGCGGATGCCCATTGCCGGTACCAGCGACTGCGTTATCCGGACACTGAAGTGCGCCTCTGCACCGGCACGGATGAGCATGGCACAAAGATTCAACAGGCGGCAGCGGCGCACGAGGTGCCTGTGGGGCAGTACTGCGATGAGATTTCCGCGCTCTATCGCGGAGTGTTTAAGGAGGCACGGATAGAATACGATGATTTCATCCGCACCACCGAACAGCGACACAAATCGGCGGTATCCGATTTCTGGGTGAGTTTGTCCAGTTGCTAATTGCTGATCCACATTAACAATCTTACATCATCCACAGCACAGACTGCAATCGCGTGGCCATATCTACTCGGCGGCATACAGCGGCTGGTACTGCGTATCTGATGAGACCTTTCTGACTGACTCGCAGCTGCGCTTGGACGAAGCAAGTGGCGCACGCTATTCCTTAGAGTCTGGCCATCCCGTCGAGTGGACTGAGGAAACGAACTACATGTTTCGTTTGTCCCAGTTTCAGGATGACGTGCGCCACTGGGTAAAGCAGGAAGCACGCATTCGCCCCGTCAAATTTGAAAAGATTTTGCTCGATACGCTAAGCGAACCGCTGCCCGATGTGTCCATCTCCCGGCCAGCGAATCGTGTGCATTGGGCTATACCCGTGCCGAATGACGAGACGCAAACGGTCTACGTTTGGCTGGATGCCCTGATTAACTATCTCAGCTCCCTGGGCTATCCCAATGAACAGGTGAGCGCAATTATATCAGAGAATCTTGGACTTATTGCTGACTAGATCTTATCTTTCGACTTTGTAGTATCTGGCTCATTGGCCGCCGGCGCAGCAGGTCATTGGCAAGGACATACTGAAATTCCACGGCGTCTATTGGCCCGCCTTTCTGTTGGCTGCCGGCCTGGAGCCGCCGCGCCAGCTGCATGTGCACTCTCACTGGACCGTCGATGGCCAGAAGATGTCCAAGAGCAAGCACAATGTCGTCGATCCCGTCGAGGCAGCCAAGCAGTATACGATGGAGGGCTTGCGCTACTTTCTGCTGCGCGAGGGCGTGGCGCACAGCGATGGCAGTAAGTGATTCCACCCAACTTCCGACCCCTGTGGCTGCTGCAGTCTCTGCAATCTATCAAAATGACCAAAAGCCAACCGCGGTTACTTCCAGAGTTTACTTTCCCCCTCAGCGGAGCCCCTACACTTCTGTGCATGCAAATATGTCTGCCTCGTCAGTGATGCTGATTTCGTTAGTTTTGCTTGTACCTTAGCTGAATTTGCATTTCAATTTTATAGCAAGAAGCGGAAAAAACTTTTCGTCTGCTGCTTCTGCTGCTGCTGTTGCTGCCAAACCGACTTTTGTTTATTTGCTGGCAAAGTTTTTGTATCTTGAACCTTGGCTCAGGATTTGCTCATTTGCATAAGAGCACCGCTGGCTAATTCCTAAGGCTGCCTCCCACTCGAGCTTGTGGCTGGCTGTCGAAAGTTGAGGGCAAGTTTCTGTTGGATATGATTAGTTTGTCATTTGCTCCACCAGCTCCTGCTCCTGCTCCGCCTTCTCCTCCACCTTCGCCGCACTTTAATATTTTCTCTTCGCTCGGCCGTAAAATTCATTCCCGGCACAATGGTTGGCGAAATGATTTAATGCTGGGCCGAGCATCTTCAGTCCATTGTGCGCTGAGCAGGTGAGCAGCTCATGCATGCAGCTCATGCATGCCCACCGTGCAGCACCAGTTTCACATAGGGATAAACTAATTTCAATTGTTTTGCTACCAACAAGAGGCTGTTGGACACGGCCTGAGCCGTGTCAGAGACATGCACAAATTTTGCTAAAGCAATTAACACGGCTCGACACACAGCCAGAAGTCATCAAAATCACTTTGAGTGCTGGCGTTATTGTTATTGTTGTTTGTTGTTGTTGTTGTTGTTGCTGCTGCGGCTACAGCGTGTTTCTGCTGTTGTTTGACACGCCCACTTTTGATGCGATTTGATTGATTCCATAACCTTTTCGGTATTCAATTTGCATAAATGGCCGCTGCCGAGTCTGAAGCTTAATGGCTTTTCGGCTGCTTTGTTTGCCTGGAATTTAAATTTAATTTCAATTTTCAATTATTGCCAACTTTGCCTTTCCGTTGTGCTCGCCTGGGCCACGCCCACACCTGCCTTTATTCAATTTGCCTCTACAGTTTATGGCTGATGAATTTCTCTGTTCGCTGTCGGGCAGCTCGACTCTGTTTGGCTCTCGGTTATATATATGTATGTATATATATAGATTTTTTTTTGTTTGGCCTGTTGCCTTGCGGCTAATTTAATTGCATTTTTATTGCATTTTGAGCGCTTCGCGTTAATATTGCGCTCATTCAGAAGAAAAGCAGCAAATTTGCAGCGCTCTGCATGTTGAATTCAATTAGGCGTGCTTTTCCTTTATAACTTGTTCGATATTGGCTCTGCGATTTGAAATCAGATTTGCTGCAGGTCGAGCCCACAGTCGCCAAGGATTGCATAATGCGGCGTATACTCAATACGGGGCCGTGGGGCGAACATTTCCGCCTCTCCCTCAATGTGCATTTGAATAAGTTTTTGGATTGCGTTCGTTTATTCCCGGTGGCGCTGATTGGCGACATCCGCCTCCATCAGCTAACAGCATTTGTGGGTAGTTTTTATGACGAGCACAAGCGTCAACAGCGGCGCAATCATCGTTCGCATCGGAGGCCACATCATTAAGTGCACAACTTTTCATTACCAACAATTTAATTTTGAAATTCTGCCACTGCGGTCGCTGCATCGGTGCCGCCGGCCCACCTCCGCCTCAGCCTTGAGATAGAGAGAGAAAGAGCTGTCCGTCTCCTGCTGCGACACTGGAACTGCATTTGGCGAAAGTGTCCGGGTGACTGCTGACGGAATGCCTCAGAGCATCGCCCCCGTCAAGTTTTATGGACATGAGAAAACACGCGCAAATAAATATATAAAAACAGCAAAAGAAAAGGAAAAACGCTCAACTGGCAGAGCACCCCCCAAAGGCGTCGTTCGGCTTAAATATCAAGCACTTGCTCAACTATCTGCGGACTGAAGCACTTGTCTGCATTAAATTACACCCAACTCCATGGGAATTGCCCCGCAATGGCCTCTAAATAAATATTATGTGTGCTCAATGTCAGTTATCACGTTGTGCTGCTGTCGCTCAACTAAGACTCGGATCACAACTTTATAAAGTATTGCTCAGGATGGCAATGCAATGTCTTTGATTGCTATTTTTAATTGGATTGAGCAATGTTATTTATTTTGTTTTTGTT